ACGAAGGCCGAATATTCCCATCCAATCAAGTACGGGTCGTCGATGTGCAGAGGGAAACACATTCCGTTTACACCGTAAAATCTCGTGCTGCTTCGCCAGTGGATCACTTCCGAACGAGTTACAATTAATTAATTTCAGAACACTGTCCTTTCCTCGATTATTTTCTCGTATAATGGCTGTATTTTGTGCATGCAGCAATCGTTTGAAACAGAAGTCTTCGAATTCTTTAAAATCATTCATTCGCGTGGAAGTCGAAACAGAAGAAAATTCATCGTCGACACTCAAGCTCGCGAATTTAACAAATCATCGGGGCAAAAGCCTTGGAAACTTCAACCATTTGCAAATTAATAAATTTTCACTAGAGAATCTGACGACTGACGATTATAACGACGTAGAATCAAGATCTGCTTTCGAATAATCAGAACAATCGACGCGACGTTTAATTGATTCACAAAACGACGAACAGGGAGCGTGCCTGTCTGGTTCGTGTTACGTTATCATAATCAGTGGGTTAACTGGCAGCCGGACATCTTGACAGTTTATTAGATGTTATCACCGATCATGCAGCCGTGGTTCATGAACAAATAAGAAACGTCGAGACGAACCTGGCATGAGAGCAAGAGTAATTCCCGTGATCCAGATGATGATCACCGATGCGAATGCCGTCTGCGGTGTCATAGTACGGTGACCTTTTAGCGGGGCTGCGATTAGCATATATCGTTCCAGAGACATAAACGACAGGATCAATACTGAAACCTTGACGGATCGATTTCATTTCAATGATTTAATGACGCAAGCCGTTCGCTTTCTTAAGATAATACTCGTTTCGCGAATGTTACAGCGATTTTTTTAAAACAGTTCAGCTGCCAGACGTACGAACAAATAATCTTTTAAATTTTAATATTTCGAGAGTTGAATTTAAAAGCGGAGATGAGAAACTCGCGAGAAGATGATTCCTGACTTTGAAAGAAACCACTGAAAATTTTAATTTCCGATTTTTACTTATATTTCCTCTTTCCAAAGTTGGAAAATTAAAAATTTCTTACAATCGAAATTTGTAAATCAACGTGTCAGAGTTTTCTTATAAAATACGATCGATAAATGTACCTCGAGAGATGTCATTGCCAAAACTCCTACGAAGGTACAGAACCACGAAGACATCCATGAACTGGCGACTCGATTGTAATTATCGCGGAATATCATGTCCGTTATGGCGATTACAAACAGGTATAGTCCCATCATCATGTCGGAGACTGTAAACAGAATATACCACTTTTGCGGTGATTCAGTGATTTATGATAGACAATTATTGAAACTAAATGAGATTGACGTGTCATTTTCTGAAACATTATCAACAACCAAGACTCGTCTTTCATAATCCTTTATAAATGTTTGACATACTTGTTAAGTTGAAAAAGCTTAAACATTAGAACGCACATAAAATCTTTCTTGCTCATCAAGCTAGACTCTAACATTTTATTCGTTAAACAACTTGGTATTTCCAATTGATTGAATATCTTTTGATCGATGAATTCGGAATACTACTCAGATCTCTGTATGTACTTTGTGACTTCGTGCGATTTCGTCAATTTTCTTATTACACGAACTTAACTTTGCATCAAACAATTTTTTAAATTATACCGTACCTGCCAGATTTCGAATGATGATGGTTAATACGCGATTCTCATCCTTAGCGGTGAATCTCCCCCAAAGAACAAGCATGTTGCCCATACAGGTAACGCACGAAATTACCCAGACTGCCGCTCGTAATAAAGTTTTATCAAGCAAATGAGATAACGATGATACACCTGCATAACATATCGAATTAAATTCGAATTATTCCATCGTTATTCATTTCACGACTATTTAAAGAAGTAGTAATTTTCGCTCAAAAATATGGAAAACGGTTTACTAATATCTCGTAATATACTGCTACAGATTTTACAAAATCACAGGCCATTAAAATCTACCAATTATTATGGTACGTTACAATAAGTAGTACGTTGAATCAGCTCGTAATGCATACGTAATCCATTAATGTCAGTGTAGGCATTTCATGCATAGATTAGTCATGTAATTTAATGATTACAGTAAATCACAGCCATTTAATGACGAACCAAGAACATAGGTATTTCCGAGTGTAAAATCTAAATTGACTACGATACAGAGATATATTGTTTTTCTTTTTTTATGTCTTTCAAATAATTCTTACCGTCACTGGTCGGTCGACATCGTTTTGCTTTCGGCGCATAAGTCGCGCAATAATGAAACTTCTTGAAATAGCTGAAATTAGTGTCGATTAGCACTTGAAATCAATACGGTATGTACTTCATTACATTTGTAAAACAGTGTTGACGTTCGACGATAGACACATTCGCAAGAATTCCATTTATAAACGAAACTATTATACAGCTTGTCTGACACAATACGGATAGATCTACTTACACGAAGTCCAGTTGCTCGAACGCGTCGAACGCGTTCTTCTGCAGCGCGTTCAAATTTATACCTTCCAGGTCTCTAAATTCACGTGAAATTACCTGAATCAATATTTCTGTGAGCTGTAGAAAATATCGCAGACTTGCTTGTGAAAAAAATATTACAGACAGAATTGTAGAATTAAAAGGAGAAGAGTGCTAGAACTCATAGATAAAAAGAAATTACTTATAAAAAAAATATTACATAGATACAATTACAGAATTAAAAGGAGAAGAGTACTAGAATAAGTCACGTTCCGTTATTTTAAATTTGTTCCAAACATACAGAAAATCAAATACTACTTACAAAAGTCCGCGTTTAAAAAACGGAACTTACAGGGAGTAAAGTCTCCTTAACGGAGTCAACACTGCCATCGGTAAATTGTGAAAACGGTTGTAGCCTAACTGCCTGAAATAAAGCCCGATCTGATTAACAATTTCACGAGAATCGTTCAAATATCGCTGCTCGAGCCATAAAACATATATAATGGCACACATGGTTATTCACATTCGGCCTTATTCCCGTGTACGTGTCGGCACAATAAATAAAAGTTTTAACGCCAGGATACGTGACGTTTCTTCTCATTTGCTTTTCTAACGCCCAGACGTGCGTTCGACGGTAAATATCAGGTAAATATGTTGCAAGCACGCGCGTGTAGCTTAAGACGTCGTGTAGCGTTACAATTTATGTGTGGATGCCGGTATGCCTCGTATACTTACAGCCTCGTCAGATTTTTTAACGGCTGGAATACATTCAGCGGGACGCTCGTTATTTCGTTGAACGCCAAATTACTGAAAGGGAAAAAGGTCGGTTTTGCACGACACCCGGCCGTGATGTACGACGAGCATAACTTCGTTAACTCGCCGTGAGCGTGCATTCGCAGATCGAGGTAACGCAATCGAGGGACTTACAGTTCGACCAGCTGCTCCAGATTTTCAAACGTCTCCTCCTCGATCGTCTTTATCCTGTTCTTTTGCATACTCCTGTTGGTACGAACCAACGGTGTTGATGTTACTCGTTAGTCTCACATCTCGGCGAAAAGCCTTTAACCCCCTTAACGCGATTTACTAGCGACATTTCGTTGGGCAAAGTTATGGGGTTTGATATTACTGAGCATCGAATAGTATCGTTCGGTCACAGGTCACTATAGCAATTTATGTCGGATAAAACTAAAATTTCGGCGTTTATCTTACATTACGTATTTCACATCCCTATCGAAGTGACGAGGACTAAGGGAAGACAGCTGAAGTGAATTCGAAACTTGAAAACTATAGTAATCACAAACTATTATAGTCAAATGACGCTAGTTAACAATTAATTATTTTGTTGCAGTAAACATCGTTAGTTCAGTTCTTATTTTCTCAGACAAATACAAAGATCAATTTTCTACATTTTTTTTTTTTTTTTTTTTTATTTACTTACGTACAGTAATTTTAACGATGGGCAGCCAGCGAACAATGTGTCTGGTATTGTTTGAAAATTATTTTCATCCAACAATCTGGAATCGTGTAAAATGTTGTAAAATTTACAAAGAGAAAAACAAAGTGTTGTTTAAAATTACAAACTTACATCTCATTTAGTGCTGGTAATTCCGGCAATATCAATCCTTTCGAAGTCAATTGATTTTCATTCAAATTTCTATAGTAACGTAATAAAATTAACGTCAAGATATGATCGCACGATATTTGTGCAAACGACTCACATGAAGTTGAAAGCATTGCTCCCCTCTAAGTCTGAAAAATCTGCCATAGTGATTCTATTTTTATTGGCCCTCAAAGATTCCAAGTTGGTCAGACCAGCAAAATGTCCCGGGCGAAGTTCGCTAATTTGATTATTATCCAAAGCTCTGTTCACAGAGAATATATCGAACAATTATTCGATTTATTTCAAAATTACCGAAGAAGCTCGATCGGTGGAATTTATACTCACAGCCAGAACAGTTTGGTCAAATTGAGAAATGCTCCTTTTCCTAGCTCGTGTATATCGCTGTCATCGAGATACCTGAATTATATTTTTTTATTTATTTTTTTTCTTTACCAGAAATATACCACAACAAGTTTGTCAAAACGAAGCAGAGAAAGCAAGTGGATGCTCTTCGACAAAACTTACAGTATACGGATTTCCGAGTATCTCGCGAAGGCGCCCGTTGGCACGCGTTTGATCGAACTGTCGTACAATGTTCTAAAAAAAGAAAAAAAAAAATTAATCGCAACGATTAAGAACGATCTAACGCCGACACATGACGAAAATAAAAGAAAATACACGTGCTCTCGAGGAAAGATCGCAAGTGCCTTAATACTTAAAACAAACCGTACATGGAAGTGGTTTGAGAAGATAGGTTTCGCGGAATTTCCGTGTACCCTTGACATGTTGCACGACACTTCACGTACTTACAACCGACGGGAATGTCGGTGGCATCTACAAACACCAGGGGGAAAAAAGAAACACGTAAATGACCAATCCTTATCTCGTTTCCATTGCGTTACGCGGCTTTATCGTCGCATTTTTATTTCTGTTACTCGATATTGTGCTCGGTTTGTTCGATAAATTATGGATATTGCATTACCGCAAACGAACTCCCTTACTGCCTCGGAATCTCTGTCACTGCCAAACCAGTCCAATACGCCGTGATAATCATCTGCATACAAAGTAACATTTTTTATATCGCGCGGTTCGGCACGTATTGCGCTTTATACATTGTAAAAGCGAATGCCATACGTCGGAACTAAATTTCAAATTTAATACGTTTTTGTCCGGAATAGGATATCTCGTCGTAATCGAGCACAAGCGCGAAGGTAAAATTATGCTCGATAAAAATACAAAATACAAAGTACGAAATACAAAATGTTCGACCATCGTTTCGCAGTCGATGGTTTCGCCTGTTTTCTGAAAATTGAACAGCAGTGATCAGTGAACTAACAACAATTCTGTTCGTCGTCTCCGTGAGGACATTGGTTTAGCTGATCGCACCAATTTCTCTGTGGTAGACAGATAGTGGTGTTGTGACAAAGGAACGTTCCCACTGGGCAAGTGTCTGGAATCAGGAAAATCGAGCTGTTAATCATCCAAGAATACTAGAGTTTGAATGACAGAATGGAGGATAATTTTAATCGATCTCCCGTTTGGAAAATATAAAAGAGTGTATTACTGCCACGAGGCAATTGATCAATCAATTATATGCCATATAGTCCTTCGTTTCTTCGTCTTGACTCTGTTTTTTTTACGATAGAATTCGTGTAACCTGCGACTCTTAGTTTTTAATGCTTATAAATGATACATGCTAGATATAAATTACAACGTTTGATCATTGATTCTATAAATAGAATTCTTACTAATTACCAAAAAAAAAAAAAAAAGTGGTATTAGAAATATTACTGATCGTGTTTTAAAAACCTTATCCAATGAGTAATTATCTATTAATAAATATGATTGCAGAAAGACAGGTACAAAGTGCATCGCATAAGTCTTGCGAGATATTTACGATATATACTTCAGTCTTTCAATGCAACACGACCGACGATTGCACTTTTCGAATAAATGAATTTTCAACGATACTGTATCGCATTGAACGAGCTCACGTACCTTGGTTGAAATAATACATCAACCCTGACAATAGGCAGACGATCGCGATGAAAAACGCGCCGATCGCGACGATGTATTTGTACCTCATCTCGAAACACGAATCCTTGAAACGATCTATCGCCCTTGTGCACCACGGACTTCCGTGTTCTCCCTCGCATGAGCAACGTTCTCCACGTGCACTCGGTGCAACGACTGCATGACACTGGTTGCATTCGCTAGCTGCGTCGCAAGTTCCGCCGCCGCGCACACGCGCTCTTCATCGTCCTCGGACGAGGATTTCTTGCTAATCGTTTGCTCTGCTAGAAATTTTATTCTAAATTGCGCCGATCGATCGTCTCTCAGCGATCTCTGCGTCGCAGACAGACTCTGCAGGCTTCTCGAAGAAGTTTCTTTCAGCGAGGAAAAAAAGTAGTCGATGAATTCGAAATGAATGTCAGACTTGTTTCTTGCAAATGTAATAGTTTACACAGATTATATTACATAAAAATTATTATTATTGATAGATTGTATAAAATTATAATTATCGTATAAAATGATTTATTCGAGTATAAAAATTTATTCGTTGTTCCGCACGAGAGCTAATTTAGCATCGAGCTTCTGTTTTCCCGGTTCATTTTAAATTTCGTTTCTTGAGAGAAGAAAACCATAAAATCTATGAAATCGCAGAACACCGTATTACACGTCACAAGACTATAAAAATATAAAATACGCAGAGCAAAGCTTCCTATGATAATCTAGTACGTAAAACAATTTTTAATTACATTCTCGAAAGTATAAATTTGCACAAAAGCCCGTAGTCCAATTATAACTTGTTCCTCCATAAAATGTATTTGTCTCGTCTCAAATGCGTAAGATGTTTGTAAATTCACATCAGTTCCACTTCATCTTCGTTCTCACACGTTTCTTCGCAAATGATCACATGATTCACTATAAAAATTTGTATTGCACACCAGTTGCGATACAATATCGCCAGTTTTGAAGCGATACGACATACGAAACGTCGTGAAACTTCTGTCTCAGACTCGGACTCTCGTCTTCGAACGAACGGATCGAAAGCGCAGGGAAGTAATAGCGTCTCGATCGCGAGCGTAGGGCAAAAGTTGATAATTGCGAATGACGGAGGAACTAATAATTGACCTATTACGTGTTCGCTGTCCAAGCTTACTTTTGATCGTCGAACTTTCCAACGTATGCAGACGCATCGTGTATAAAAATAACATGCGACAGAAGTCTCGACAGCGGTTCGAACAGTTCGCGCCTCGAGACAACAGCCATCAGAAATAGGGAATGTGTAATCACTCATTAATGGGGAACTAGCATCGATCGGAAAGCAATTTGCGAGAAATCTTCTCTAATTTTCTAATACGAGCAATGCAGCAATCTCTCGCGGAAAGTTCGATTGTCAGTCGAAGGTCTGTCACAAATTCAGAAACTTTCCTCCATTGTTGAATATTTCAAGAGCAAAGGCCACTATTAAATCTTACCTTTTAGACCAGTCGTATCAAGAGCTATATACTATGGTTACTCTAGCATCCTTCAAGATGGAAATCAGATTGCCTTCGTCGGCACGAAGAGAGCCTTAATTCTCCGCGTTGTGCGATTTTTTGAGACTTTTGTTCGAAAAGTCATAAATTGCAATATACGCGACACTTGCGGGGGAAAAAAGGAAAAAGACTAAAACGAGCCTTTCGATCGTTCGCGGCTCGATACTGCCTGCAGCCCTCGGTGCTAAGAGCCTCGTGTAGTCCAAGAGTCAAGTTGTCACGTTCATTCGAGGATGAGGAAACCGATATTGTCGTACGTAGAACTGTTCTACGACGAGAACGTGATCTCGTGGAGCAAGCGGCTCTTAAGCTTATCCGGTCTATGGCCGGATAATCGCAACGACGTCCGATTTTTCTTCTACATTACGTACGTCGTGATCTTCACCTGGCTGGAGATTGTGACGCTGTTGCAGAATATCCACGACCTTGAGAAGACGTTGAAAAACATCACGCTGTCGTTCCCGACCATCTTGATAATACTGAAGGCAGTGATGTTTCGGTTGAACATGCATCTCGTGCTACCATTGCTGACGGTCGTGAAAAGGGACGTGGAAAGAGGATTGTACAGATCGCAGGAGGAAAGGCGAACGATCGTTTGGTATAACGTGGCCGCCACGTTATTTTCCACCTCGTCGGCCTTGTCGTTGTTCTTCGTGCCCACCTTGTTTTATTCCAAGCCGATCGTCAGCTGTGCTTTATCGAGTAAGTTCGATCTGTGACTCGTCGTTCGACTTTGTATTCGTCGACTCGAGATAATGGCGTGATTATCGCTCGGTCGGATGAAATTCTGGACATTGGTGTACATCCGGCTTGCAGGATGAAATTAACGAGGGTAATTTATTAATGATTGAACGATAAATCGATAGATCAATCAATCTTGTCACTCTTGATTGCATTTCGAAAGTGTATTCCTAGGCAATTTTATGGGTATTTTTGCGTTTTGAACTATTTGACCAAATCACGATCACGATATAAAGATCAAATCGGAGAAGAATCCAAGAATTAGCATCGAACGTTCCACCTAGGTGTCTAGGTCCAAGTCTAGGTTCGTGTATCGTAGTATAGTGTTTCATTAAAACCCGCGGAGCGAAGAAAGAGGTAAAAGTGGCTGTTTTATTAAGCCAGCAGGTATTATCGACGCGTCGCGAATACTCAGGCGGGATAAATCAAGGCTTTAATGCGAACTTTATCGTTCGGATCCAGGAAACGCATTCGATGTCCGTATTCATATGATCGCGCGTACAGTTACCTCGCGTGTGCAGCTTTATGGTGTACCGAGGCGATGGTTAAGTACTTCCTTTACGATACACAAAACGGTTACGTTTTACGAGGCTGTCACAGTTTGTCGAAGATTCTGCACGACCACCGACGCCGTGATTTTCTTTTTTTCGCGGTCGTTCCACGGCCAAGTTAAACGTTAAGAATTTATGTACTCGATATTCTTCTACAGTCTTTCCCCCTCTCTTCCTTCCCGATGAGCAGCGTAAAGACTGAAATGTAAGGATTGAATGATCTTTTATAAGTATTGTGTGAAAAGAGTACGTAAGGTAATTGATAACTTCTCAACTTCAAATTAATTAATTTAATTCATTCGATATTTAAATTTACTACAAGGGATGCTTGAATTTAAAAGTTAAGAGCGAAAATCTGCGACTCGAGAATTGGACACACAAGTAACGTATATTAATAAAAATACTATTTAATACTATTTTGCTATTAAATATTGTTCAAAACAAAAAAGGAAAGAACTTCGAACGTCAGTGTTTGATTTTTCAAGGATTCCATCGAAGGGAAAGAAGATCAGCTTTTAGTTTCTCATCAATCTTTACTAATGTATTCGCAGAATTCGATAATTGCACGCTTCCTTACGAGTTGCCGATGAAAGTGAAAAACATCTACGAGGTGACGGGAGTACGATCGTACGTTCTATTCTGCGTTTACTTGATACCGACGAGCACGATGTTAACAATCGGCGCGACCGGCGCGGACAGTCTCCTGGTGACGTTGACGTTTCACATCTGTGGCCAACTTTCAAACGTGGCACATCGTGTCAGGAACATCGATGTCGAGCCGCAGATATATTTCCCAGAAATGAGAGCACTCGTTGAACGACACACCGAACTTTTACGGTGAGTCGTAGTTAAAAAAAAAAAAAAAAAAAAAAAGACAAAAGTAATATCTTTGTTGCATATACAATTCGCAAGAATGTTGAAACAGTGTGATATTCGTTGTAGACTAGCAAACATTTTGGCAGAGGCATTTAGTTCTTTGATGTTTATACAGACCTTAGGATTAATATTCTCTTTGTGCGTCGTGGTCTACCAATTGCTCACGGTAAATGACAGAATTATGTAGACGAATAATTATGCTGTTACTCTTTGCACTTCATTGAGCACTTAATTTTGTCGTTATTTCTTGTCTTTCAATTCCTCGATCGATTTAAAAGCGCACTCTGCACTTGCTGTCATAACGCAAAATTATAATTTATTAATTAAGAGGTGCGTGATCCAGTCGTTTCAAACGAAATAAATGAATAAAGGCAGGAAACTATTTTATAGACGTCCGAATCTGGAGAAGATATGAACACTGTACATTTTATAATCTACTCTTGCGCTGTTATATTATTAGCATTCTGCTACTGTTTCCTGGGGGAGTGTCTAATTAACGAGGTAATCATCGAAGAAGAGAGAAACGCGTACATTTTTACTTTTATTTATATAGATCAAGAGGCACGCGAGCATTTGCTCACTTATCAGAAGAACGTACAATTTCAGCAGATGTATTAATTCTGCATCTTTCAGAGCAGCGAAGTGCAAGCGGCTTGCTATTTCATGAACTGGTACGATCTGCCAGAACAGTATATACGATCTTTGATATTTTGCATTGCTCGATCGCAAAAGCCATCGTATCTTACTGCTGGCAAGTTCTACGTGTTTTCCTTGGAGACGTTCGCCGTTGTAAGTTACTTCTCGAAATCGAAATACCACCGGACATTATGAAATCTTTTTCACTAAACTCTCCCTTCGTCGGTATATAATCCACACGTTTCGATTTATTTGTAGATAGTGAAAGCATCGATGGCATATCTGTCCGTTTTGAAGAGCATTATTTGATCAATCCCGACGACCAGCTCAGTCAATTTGCTGAATTTATC